TTTTTCCTAGAAGAATTTCCTTGGTAGAGAGGTTTATTAAGCTGTGCTGATTTGCCTCTTGCTTATCCTCTCTCTTGTTCACCGAGAATCAATGAGTATTTGTTCCTACCTGGTTCATAAAATAGCTTTTTGTAGCATAACTTTTTTAGTCAGAAGAATCTCAGTGATCTTCTGCCTAGTGAATTTTTAATGATTACTTTTGCTTCTTTTCAATATTGTTGTTGATACTAAGCATTTAGCAATCTACCACTTACATTTCTTTCCTTCTTCCCAAGTTAACAACTTTAATATAAAGAGGACTTTAGGATGGATACTTTTATCATTTCCTTCTTTCCCCCAATAAATTTCTCCCGAGCAATCTGTATCTGGCATCTTTTGTCTCACAAGGCTTATCTTCCTGACACAATGCTATGTAAGTTGGATAGTAGACATTGCTTACAACAGCCTCGGTTTGTGAAAAAACTTCCATACTTTGTCCCTATAGAACTTCCTCTTAGAAGATAACATAGGGGACAAGAAAGTTTTCAATGGTCTTGGGCCTTCCTTGATTTTCTTCAGTGTGCCATTAGTCCTCAACTTCTGTTCTGCTAAAAAGAATTCAAGTGTCTTAATGCTGACTCCAGTGTCCCAGAAAGATCATTGTGCAAAACTCCAGATTAACTTATTTTTTAAAATTTCATAATCCTTGGTAAATGGTGGACAATTAATCAATATATAGCGATTTCTTTGTTGTTGTTGTTCTTAAATATGATGAAGGTTCTGGTCAGAGATTGACAAGCTAATTTCTTATTTTATAAGTGACATAGGTATTTATAAAATATTAGTACCTTCTCTCCTAGAGACCCTTTGTAGTTCTGTTAAATTGGATTTGCCATGGCTAGATTGTTTTCTTCTTCTTCTTTTATAGTTTAAGGTCTTCTGTCTTTTGGGCTTTGTAAGGATTCTCTTGCCAGGATCCCTCCCCCCCACCTTAATCTCTTTATGCACATAAGCTTTTTTCTCAATTACATAATATAATTCTTCCAAACAATGTAGATGATTTTTTTACTAATGAATTAGCTGTATTAAATTTAAACACTGCCTATTAAAATTCTGCTTCCCCAATAAAGATTTACTTTGCTTTTAATATAGAAACATCCAGCAGTAGAATATATAGAACATATATTTCTTTATATATTTAAGTTTTCTCTGTAATATTCACCTTAGATTGCATTTTTATATTAATTGTTTATTTAGTGTCAATAAAACACATTCATTTAGCAAAGATGTTTACTAAACTTTCTTATTCATACATATTTACTAAGCAGTTACTATTACAATTCAAAGAAAGATTATTCTAAGCTCACTTCTTTCAGTAGTTTTAGATTAGATGTTTGAATTACAGACACTGGAACATGTAATCACTCTTTGAAGAATTGAATGCTATTTTATCTTCAGAATGGAAATCTTACCTTTAGCTATTACTCCTTATAAATAAAAGTTTGAAGTATAATTACACATTTCATAATTTCTTCTATTCCAACTTCAAATAATTGTAATGTGCATTTAAAATTACATAAATAACAGGTTTAGACATCTGTTGAAAAGTAGATGAAAACCTTCATATTTTTTGCACATAAATTTTCTCTTATTCTTTAAATATTATTGTTGATATTTTTGTTGTTGTTATGTGCCATTACATCATCTACCACTCATAGTTGTTGTTGTTATGAGTCATCAAGTCACCTGTAACTCCTAGTGATCCTAGGTACAACAGTTCTGAAGCCTGCCCTGTCCTGGGCCAGTCTCACTGACTCTAACATACCTACCCCCATAGTCCCAGTTACTGTATCAATCCATCTCATCTGGATATTCCTATCCTGTGCTGTTCCTCTTCCCTTCTGAGCATGATGGCCTTCTCCAAGAACCAATCCGTCCTGGCCAATATACCAGATCTAGAGGAGACCTAGCCCTCAGCTTAGAAATTATCATATTGTGACAGCAGTGTAGTTGTAGTGCAAAAGGGAGATCAGAGACACTAAGTCACAAAACAGCAGTTGTAGAGCAACTCAGGGGCAAGAACCTTTCCCCAGGACAAAAAAAAATTCTTTCATTGAAGCTGTTACATGGGTTTTGGACTTACATCCTCTTCAGTGCTAGAAAGGCATTAGCTTGAGAGACCAGCAGCAACGTGAAACACAACACATCATAGAAGTGACTTGTGGCCTAAGCCATCATATCAAGGGACGCCTAGGTGGAGCGGTGGGCTAAATGGGACAGGAAAGGGTTCAAGGAATGCAGATGTAGCAAGTGAAGGGAAGGGACAAGACACATGTTCCAGGGTGGAAGGGGAGATGACACTGAATGTATTTGTTATTTCTCTAAGGGGAATTATCTTTCATCTGCTCCTTTCAGTAAAATGCATATCCGGCAGAAATTATTCTGAAACTAAGCATCCAAAATAAGACAGACTAGGAAGAAGGATTGGACAGAGCACACCACTCACAGAGACCCTGTGAACAACTGATAGGAATCTTGGCCTGTCTTGTGCCATCCTCACAGTCTCCAAATGCTTAAACTTACTGGAACAGTCACTGTGTCAGTTCATCGTGTTGAAAGTCTTCCTCTTTTTCTTTGATCCTCCACTTTTCAGCATTAAATCTTTTTTTTAAAGAATGGGCTCTGCTTACAACATACACAGAACACGTGAAATGAAGTTTCACCTTCCTTGCCTCCTAGGAGACCCTTTGTTGCACTTCTCCAAGATACACTTAACAGTCCATTGCTCTGAAGTTACCAAAAAGGGATGACTAAATTACATGTATATCCAATAGATTATAAAAAGTAAGCTATTAGAAAATAAAGTTTACATAGTTGGATGACTAATTGAATTATTGACTAGACATGTTAACTCCTTAAGTAAATTATTTTGAACAAATTGTTCTTTAAAGCAAGATTTAAAACAATGAACAATAAAGTACACCTTTGTAAATATGTTCTTTCTAAAATATGTTCTCTTTAAAATACATGTCCATTTATTTAAAACAGAAATCCAGAATTCCCAGCTACAATTATAACTTGAAATTTATTATTTTGGCAGTACTCTTCTCCAACTCCACAAATCACACATCATTCTGCCTACAGTTCAGTCACCTTCTTCAGTTGTTTGGTTTTTTAAATAGATTTAAAATAAGAAATACATATACAATATTTTCATTCTTAAAAATTTAAACCACAATATCTTGTTATGTTTTTCTTAATGTGTCTTAATTAAAGAACTTTCCTGGAGAAGTAACATAAGTGTTTATATATTCTACTTTGCAGCTCTAATGACTGTCCATTCAGAGTTGTCCAGAACTTACTTTGCTTTGCTGGCTCAAATTCACCAGTAACTTTGAGGGAGAAAGATGGACAATCTCCTCAAATACGATGTATAGCCAATAAAAAAAACCAGAACAAAACACTGGTGTGTCAGCTGTGCATTGGTTCTGACTTACCAAAAAATAAGTCAGTCACGCTGTTGTTATGTGCTGTCGAATCAAGTGTGGCTGATAAAGACTCAATGGCTCTGAGCTAGTCTCCTTTTGTGAGCCAGCCTCACTGACTCTGACACCCTGACCTCATTGCCACAGTCACTATGTGAATCTGTCTCATCCAGCACTTTCCTCTTTTGTGCCGAACTTCTACCCTTCAAAGCATGATGCACTTTTCCAAGAACTAACCCATCCTGGTAACATGCTTGCAGTATATGAGACATGAGTTTCATAATTCTTGCCTCTAAGGAACAACTTGGTTTTACCCTCTCTAGGACACACTTGATTGTTCTCTTGGCAGTCCATAGTTTGTTCAGTACTCTTTTCCAACGTAAATCTAAGGCATCAGTTCTTCTTCTGTCATCCAGTTGCAACACTGCATAAGGCAACTGCTGAAAAAAGGTTGGATACAGGAAAGAGGAGAGAGAAAGAATGGATAGATAATGAACACTACAGTAGAATAGGAGAAGAGAAGGATTATCAGAAAGGAATGAATGCTTAGACATTATATGTATGACAATAAATAATGTGAAATAAGACATACATCATAAATAATTTGAAGAAGTGTTAGGAGAAAATTTGCTATCAACGAATGAATGAAACCCATCTTTTCTCTAAATTTTTACTAAAATCACACTTTAAAAAAGTAAAGAACAATATCACAGAGAAATGGTAGGAGATTAAATAAGCATAATAGTTTTGAAAAGCAATTTGGAAGTTCTACTAAAAATCATAATATGGGGGGAAAACTGCTATGGAAATGTTACTTTTCTACTAATTTCCTACAGAACATCTGACTTTCAATGAAGCGCATGCTGATGGTTCAATAATGTACAGAAGTCTGTGATTGTGTCTGTCTAAAGTGCATGGTTTTATACTTTATGTTTTTGTATTGTTTTCAAATATGTATCCAGCAATAAAGTTGGTGTCAGTGATGTCTTCATTATGTGTGAGAGAAAGAGAAAGAGAGAGGTGGTGGAGAAAAGAAGAAAAAGGATGAGGCGAGAAGAAAGGGAGACGATAGGGAAGAAGGAGCTGCTCAAGTAGTACAAGAGATAATGGGTATAAAATCGTGCTTTGGTCCTGAAATTTTGCCTTGTATTGGATTTACCTAAAAAATTACTTAGTGTCTTGAATAGTCACCTTATTATTATAGGACATAGAAAGAAACCTGCATTGTACTCACTTTCATTATGTGCCCACTGTCCAAATTTGCTTTAACCATGATTAAAGCCGAGTCAACTATTTTTATCTATTTAGAGCCTATTGAAGTTCATTGATTTTGTTTCAAGTTCTGTGCAAATCAACTGCCTACATTTTAGAGTAACTTAAAAGGTGTTTTATTTACTAGATTCTCTTTAGAGTTGAATCTTGTTGTATAAGACTGATGAGCTTCATCTATTAAGTGACATACACTTTGATCCTGTCACGTACATTCTGTCATAAGCATCAATAACCTATGGTTTTTCTATATCTACTATATTCCAGGAAAAGCAGAGGTTTCTGACGGATGTTCTACATGAAGTGATGCTGCTTGATGGCTTGGCCAGTTCCCATCCAGTATCACAGGAGGTGCTGCGTGCAACAGATATTGACAGAGTGTTTGACTGGATTGCATATAAAAAGGTGGGAATAGATAAAAACCAAGTAGTAGATGGGTATTTCACTATCCAGGGGAGCCAATTTATCTCATGCTGAGTGTATTGTTACTCTTCCAAGCAAAAAGAACTAGACTGAGTTAGAATTTATAAAACACACACAATCACTATTTTTATACCATTTTATAAAGTTTTTGCTTTATATATTAATTAGTAAAACACATGATGGTTCACAAAATAATGCATAGAACTATAGAGACTATTAATGAAGAAATGTTTCTAGATTCATTATAAAGTTGCTGCAAAAATGGTGTTATGTAAATAACACCTTGTATTATTATTAATAAGAGAACTTGCTAGCAAGTGAGAATTCTTTATCACCAATTATATACTTATTTTGATTAAGTAATGCAAATGGGTATAGGTAATGCATGATATATGGATTTTATAAACCATTAATAATTATTAATAATTTTAGAATTTAAATACCTTTCCTGGAAATAAATATCATAAATAAATGTTTAAAGGTGAAACCTTGAATGACATTAAAAACTTCAGAAACATAACTGAGGAATTCTGGTGTTACGTAGTTAAGCTCCCAGATGCTAGCCAAAAAGTTAGTGATTTGAATCCACCAGTCCAATCACTGGGATGAAGAGGAGGTAGTCTGCTTCCATAAAGATTTCCAACTTTGGAAATGCATCGGAACAGTTCTGCTCTGTCTTAGAGGGTTCCAATGAATTTAAATTAACTCCATTACAGTGGATTTCTTTTTAGTTTGGGACCAATAAGTAAACATATGAATAGAACATTTTATATAATTTATTTTTCCATTGTTACATGGATTAGATTAAGGATTTTAAAAATAATTTTTCTCTTTTTTTTATTGGTTTGCTTACAAAGCATGTATCTCTCTTTTATACTTTTAACGTGAAATTGTGCTTACCATTTAATAGCTACTTATTTCTAAAATATATGTTATTGTTAGGTGCTGTCAAGTCACCTGCAACTCATAATGCCTCTATGTCCAACAGCTCTGAAGCCTGCCCTGTCCTGAGCCAGTCTCACTGACTGGGACACATCTACCTCCATTGCCCTAGTTACTATATCAATCCATCTTATCCAGATTCTTCCTCTCCTGCCCTGTTCCTCCACCTTTCCAAGCATGATGTGCCTCTCCAAGGATCAGTCCCTTCTGGCTACATGCCCAAAATATGTAAGATAGAGCTTTAAAATCCTAGCCTCCAAGGAGAAACTTGGTTTCACTCTCTTCAAGACAGACCTATGTGTTTTCTTGGTGGTCCATGGTATGTTCAAGACTCTTCTCCAGCACCACAGTGCAAAGGCATCAATACTTTTTGTATCATTCTTGTATTCATTGAGATTGGTATTTACTATTTAATTTTTTCTAGTTTATTGTAATATTAGCAATATTAAATTAGTTCTATAACAATATACGTAATGAATAAAATGCATTTAAAGAAGGATTAATCACAAGTCCTTGGTGTTTTAGTTTTAATATTTGGTTTTTACACTCAGGCAGTGACTATCTCAATAATCAACAGTTAATCTTTATGCTATAAAATATTGAGGTGTGGATTGTGTTAACAAAAATCTCTTTCTAAACTTCCATCCATTACATTCACTTAATAATGTGTATGTTTTAATGGTTTATAGACGTAGGTGGTTATTGTTGTTAGGTGCCATTAAGTAGACTTGATTATACCAAACAATTTCAGTGATCAATGATATTGACAACCTTTCCATTTTAATTATGCCAAAATTTTATTTCAGATAATGGTAATGTTTGTTAAGGTCTGTTATGTCCCTATTTCCTGATTTTTAGGAAGTTTATTAATTATATAAATTTGCTAAAAACAAAGCAAAACCACATACATACACTCATCTCCCCACAAAACAAAGCATTTATTTTTCTCTCTTATTTCATTGATTTTCTGTCCAAGAGTTCTCATTTTTAAGATGTCATTTTGGATTTTATTTCTTCTTTTTAAATTTTCTTATACTGATAACTGATTAATATGAGGCCTTTAATCAGTAATTTAGGCACTTAGCATGTAAACTTTACCCTATGTATAGCTTCCCATCATAGCATGCGTTTTGATTTTCTGACTACTGGTTTAAAGGATTGTGATTTTGAATCCCAGTAAGACTAAATCATTGATAATTTCAGTCTTTTCTCTATTATGATGCTGCTATTCTTTGGAAAGTGTCATTGTACTTGGAATGGTGGAGGGACAGCAAAAGACAGAAAGACTTTCAATGAGATGAACTGACACAGCGATGGCTCCCTTGGGCTGGAGAATGTGAGAGATCATGAAGATGAGACAAGATAGGACAAGGTTCAGATCTGTTGTTCATAGGTTGCTATGCGCCATAATTGACTCAATGGTACATAACAATAATAGCATCAACAATAACATGCATAGCTTTGGTGTCATCTCAAACATTTTAATACACTGAGTTTTCATTTTCATTTCTTTTAAAAACTTACAGATTTAAAAATTTTATGTAATTCATTATTTGATAGAAAACTTGTATGCTATAGAATCAGGACTGATTCATAGCAGACCCTCCAGGGGGTTTTCAGAGGCTTTAAATAACATGGGAGTTGATTGTCTATCTTTCTAACCCTAACCCTAACCCTAACCCTAACCCTAACCCTGCAGTGGATTTGAACTGCATGCCTTTGGGTTGATAGTGTAATTCTATACCACTAGACCAATTAGAAATGTATTTTTAGTTTTGTAATATTTAGATAGTTTGTAGAGAACATTCTGTCATTCGGGCCTAATGGATTTCTACTGTTAGAGTGAATGTATTTTGCATCAGTTAAATATTCGTAAAGTTTTTGAAGCTTATTTTGTGGCTCATGATTTTGTTGACTGTTGGTTGCTGTTGTTGTTAGATGATCTGAGTGAGTATGACTCACAGCGACCTCATGAACAACAAATCTAAACTCCATGCTGTGTCATCATCACAATTTCTGACACACTCAAGCCCATTGCTGCAGTCACTGTGCCAGTCCACCTTGTTAAGGGTCTCCCTTTCCTTTGCTATCCCTTCACCTTTCCAAGCAAGACATCTTTCTCCAAGAAATAGAATTTCCTAGTGACAAGCCCCCAGGAGAGGCTGTTCTTTAAAAAGGGCCGCCCTACTTGGAATGGGGGTGGAAGTTCAACAAAAGAGAGGAAGACCCTCAACCGGGCAGATGAACACAGTAAATGCAGCAATAGGTTCTAATGCATCAGGAAGTGTGATGATGGCACAGGATAGAACAGAGTTCAGATTTACTGTTCATACAGTCACTATAGGTTATGCTCACTCAGTGATCCATAAATAAAAGAAACAGGCACAGTATATGAGACAAAGCTTCACTATCCTTGCCTCCAAGAAGCATTCGGACTGCACCTTCTCCAAGACATATTTGTTCTTTTGACAGTCAACGTCTATTGGTTAATATACTGTATCTGTTGTTGTTAGGTGCACTGAGCCAACTTGACTGCTACTCATAGTGACAGTATGAAAACCAGTTCAGAAAGATACTTTACCACCCTCACAATGTGATATGCTCAAGCTCACTGCTGCAGTCACTGTGTCAGTCCATCTTGTTGAGAGTCTTCTCTCCTTTTGCTGACCCTCAGTTTTTCCAGCATAGTGTGTTTTTCTGAAGACCAGCCCTACCTGACAAAACGCCCAAACTACCTGACACAAAGTTTCACTGTACTTGCTTGTAAGGAGCAGTTTGGTTGTGCTTCTCCCAAAACAGACTTGTTTGCTTTTGAAAGTTTGTGGGATATTCAATACTCTGCTCTAACATGATAATTGAAAAACATCACTCCTTTTGTTTCCTTTAGTCATTTAGTCATTGGCAAACTTTAGAATGTATTGTTGTTGTCAGATGTCTTTAAGTCAAGTACGACTCATAGTGACTCTAGGAAAAACAGATATGTACTCTGTACTCTTTTGTGCCAAGCTCACAATCTCTGACACACTTAAGCCCATTGCTGCAATAACTATGTCAATCCACCTGGTTGGAAATCTTCCTCTCCTTCATTGTCTTTTTACCTTTCCAAGCAGGATGTCCTCTCCAAAGAATAGCCTCTCCTAGAACCATACCCAAAATATGTGAGATGAAGTGTCACCATCCTTGCCTCCACAGAGAATTCTGGCTTTTTCTTCTCCAACATGCATCTTTATTCTTTGACAGTTCATGGGATATTCTGATATTCATCCAACACCACAACTCAAAGGCATCATTATTTCTTCTGTAATCCTTATTCACATGCATAGATAACAATTAGAAATGCCATGGCTTGAATCAGATACATGTCTTTGTTGTGTTCTTATGTGCCGTTGAGTCACCTGTGACTCATAGTGATCCTATGGACAACAGCTCTGAAGCCTGCCCAGTCCTGAGTTGATTTCACTGATTTCAACCCATCTACCTTCACTGCCCCAGTTCTTGTATCAATCTATCTCATCTGGGGTCTTCCTCTCTTGTGCTGTCCCTTGACCCTTCTGAGCATGATGTCCTGCAAAGACCTGTCCCGTCTGGCCATGTGCCCAAAGTATGTGAGATAGAGCTTCAAAATTGCAGCCTCTTAGGAGAAACTTGGTTTCACTCTCTCCAAGAGAGAGCTATTTATGTTTAAACAAATGCAACTGTTTGTTAGCATTTTGAAGAGGCCCTAGTACAACATGTCTTTTGATATCTTGACTGCTACTGCCAGGGATATTGATTACAGATCCAAGGAAAATTAAACCCATGACAGCTTTTCTCTTTTCTCTTCTATTATAACGTGCCTATGAGTCCATGGGGTAAGCATTTTTCTTTTCTTCATGTTGAAATATGATCCGTCTTGATACTATATCCTTTGATCTTACGCACCTGGCTTTTCAAATATCTTCATTTTTTTTCAAGCAAGATTGTGCCATCTGCATAATATAGGTTGTTTACGAGTGTTCTACCAATCCTGATGTCACATTCTTCTTCATATAGATCAGTAT